GCCCCCATATGCATTTCTATTTTTTAAAGTCTCAGAGGCATTCCCCTACATTTTTCATTTGTTAATGAGGGTAAAATTTGACCTTGTGTATTTTCAAGGAAGTCTGTAAAAGCTTCTGTAGCTAAACCTTTGGTCTATGTGTAATGGCCAAAAAAACCTTAACAGCTTTACCAGGTACTGAGATAGGGAGGGCAATTGCAGATGTGGGATCCACAGAGAGTTCTGGTGATGCAGAATTCCTGCAAACACTTTCCCTCCAGCACTGCTCCTGGTGACAAGGTTCTCAATGTGGCTTGCAGCAGAAGCAGGGACCTGCTGGATGATTCTTATTCTTCATCACTTTCCCTTGGCAGTGGTCATCCATGGGAATCAGCTGGGTAGATGCTGTGCCAGAGGAGCAATTGCTGGCAGGGTGGGAGTGGAGCACTAAATCCCACAGGAATCCTGTAGAATAGATGTGTTTTCCACTTCACTACAGAGGCACAGGGATCAGCCTATTTGCCTAATTTCCAAAGACTCAGGTGGGTTACTGGATGACAGGTTAGGGTAACTGCTGGGTTTCCAGTGAGGATGGAGATGAGCAGCTATTCTCTTTAATGAGAGTAAAACTGTTAACTGCACATGAAGAAAAAGCTACAAATCTGTTGGAATCTGCCTGTATCTCCTGCAATAAGCAGCTTAGATGCTAACCATCCAGACTGCAATTTCAATTGCCATGATTTTGCCAGAATAAATAACTGTTGGGAAAACCTGAAAGCTTTCCAAGTGATTTCCTTGTTCCATACTGATTTTTGGCCCTTTAAACTGAGATTGTTTGTCTGTAGGGAAAATGGAAATGTTTGTCTATATGGAAGACAAGAAGTCTTAATTTGATGACAAATGATGGTCAGGCATCCAAGATAACTCTATCTGATTTTCTGAAAATCAGCCAAAATCCAATGACCTTAGGAATGCCTGCAAGTTGTAGACTGGTTTCATACTTACCTTTCTACATTTTATCTTTTGCAATGAACAGGGCCATGGAAAACGTGAGAAAGAAATTAATAGTCATGGAATTTAAGACAGTATGACAACACTATATTCTGAAGATGCCTCACTTCTGAGTGCTTTCTTTAGCTGCATCTCATCATTTTGATTTGATAAGAATTTCCTTTTGTTTATATATATATGTGTAGTGGCAATATGTCTTGTAAGGAACATAGAAGAGCTCTGCAACAGTTTTTATATGAGTTAGGAAAAATCTTTCACAAATACTGATGTTTTCAGTTTTAACATTATGAGGTTTTTTTCCCTGAAAAATATTTTTCTTAATTTGTTGCATTATATATGTGAACCTACTGTTTAAGAACATCCTTCAAAGATTTTTTTTGCTTTTTGTTTTTCATCTCCTGTATGCACAGTGTTAGCACTAATTTCTGTGTTTGGTACATCTGTTTGCTGAAGGTTATAGAAACAATTTTGTGCTAGAAAAATATATGCTGGCTAATTAAAATAATGACATATAAACCAAAAACTTATGCATAAGGATGACAGCACTGTCAGAGTATTGTTTCATAAGGATTCACAGTGAGTTTTATTGAAATATAGATATTCTGTGATCTCAGTGTGTAGAGATATGTTTGTAAGTGCATACAAATACACACACAAAACTTTGTGTATCACAATCAGAAGATCACCTAATGGCTTATATATCTCTGATATACACGATCCATGGAGTAAAAGCTCCTTTGGACTCTCATGCTCGTTTTTTCCCTGGAAAAGAAAGGTCCTGTTCATAGACAGGAATCCTTAAAGCACTAAGCTGTCAGAAAAAAAAATAGTCAAAGGTATTTCTCAGTAATAAAGGCCATTTATTTACTAAATGACTAAAAATTTGAGAAAAGTCGAGTATGTAAATTCTGTAGGTGTGTCTGAGCAGCTAAAACTGAAGCCATTAACAATGATCAGTGCTGTCCAACAAAATGTAAATAAATCAGTATAGATTTAGCAAATTATATATATTTATCTTTATCATAGAGAGTGGTTTTGGGTTTTTTCCATTCAGTTAATTTCTAAAGTATGTGAACAAATTTTATTCTCAAAACAAGTTCAGTGAGCTAAATAATCAATTTAATGCATGAATGTTTCAAACAGTTGTGATCATTGACAACAGGAAACTAGAATGAAAGTTCTCCACCTCCAGCTTGGTTCAGATATGGTTCAGGTATGTCTGTGCTTTGTATCCCTACCTCCATTCTGTTTGCACAACAAACTTCTCAAAACCATCATTAACAATTTGCTTTCTCTGATTTGTGATAATTATGATGTACATTATAGATGAACACATCAAAGAGCAAAGACACACAAAATTGTGGTTTAATTCTAATGGCTGAGGAAGACACAGCAAGTTGCCTGCTCCAAGTCTTTAAAAGATGTTTCAGCACTTAGCCAACAGTCTGTTACCACAGGTGTTGGGCACCAAAAATCTTTAGACTGTCACTATGAGTTCAGGTACACAATCATCTTTTAAGCTAATTTCTTCTGGGCAAGCAAATAACAAAGAGTTAAATTGCACCATAGAGACCAAAGAGCATTCAAGCTAATGAAAGCCATGCTTTGGTCATTTTCTCTGGACTTTAATTCCTAGTGAAGTTAGTTTTAATTCTCATTACATACAGAAAAGGCCATTAGAATATTTAGTTTGAGCTTATTCATACTGTAAGTTCCCTGTTGTTTATACAATTGGCTTGTGACTTATGTACAAGGAAAGCCCAAATAGAATGTATAATGCATATAGAGTTTTTCTATAGAAGTATTTCTACTAAGGATTATTTGTATTCATTTCAAATTTGCAATGCCACTTTATTTGAAGATCTCAGTGGAATTTTAGGTTTGTATTTTAGCTCTGAAAATAATTTTAAACAATCTTGGCAGTAGTAGAAAAAAAAAACTATTGAGTCCATAGCTTAGTTGTCTAATTTCTTAATAGTTTAAATGCTAAGGCTGTAAAATAAATTATGTATGGCTTGAATTTAAATGAAAAAAGAATGTTGGTCTTCCTTTTGGGAATAGTTTTAATTTAAAAAAGAGAATTATGTTTTTATGTTACTCTCAGTTGGGAATGCATTTGTTAGAAAAATAACTATTTGGTGTTTTGAAAATATAGTTCTGTTTAAGCTAGAGGCTCAGTAAGAAATCACCATACAGGCAATTCCCATCTAAGAACTAAGATACTGATGCACCTAACTCAGCTGGATTAGTAAAGACAAGACTGTAAATTGAGTTCCTGTAAAATGTGTCTCAAAAAATCAACATGTGCAAGAAGGAAGTTGTGGGTAATTTGTTCTCCTCTTCACTGCTGTGAGGCATGAAATCCTGTGCAAGCACCACTGCAGAAATTGAAACCTGGCTTTTGTGGACAGGTATTCAGAGCTTCATTTATCTGTTGGAATTTTTGGGTCTCTTTATTTCTGTATGTCCAGCAAAGCAGCTTTGCTCTGATTTCCCATTATCATAGATAGATTTTTCTCATGGCTCTGGGCTACCCTGTAGAAGGATAGTGGAGCTGCCAGATTTGATCTGTAGATCTTTCATGTAGAGACATTGGATTTCCTGCTCCCCTCCTATAGACTTGGCAGCCTCAGAGCTGTGCAGCAGCCAGTCTTTCCTGGGCTGTCTTTGTCAGGTTGTCTTCTGTCATGCCTCCGGAACTCCTGCTTTAGAAAGGTCACCCATCTTCCCAGTAGGAAGACCACCTTATCCTGAAGCTCTGCTACTCCAGAGGTGGTGCAGTCACCGTTTTCACTGTAAAAGTGTGAGTTATTCCTCAGATGTGTTCAGACACTTCTGCATCTGCACCATCTGAGGGTGCCATTCCTAAGTATTAAGCTATATTTGTGTGACAACAGGATCTGTGATGTTACTGCTACTTCTTTATTTTGAAATAGCATTCCTCAGGCTTCAGATTTTTATTTTTTACCTCTTTTTTCTTTTTTCTTCTTTTTTTTTTTCACTTGCGTGCCAGCTTGACACTTAATGCACTCATTAGACCTTGGATACTTTGTTGTGTTTTTCTAGGCTGGGGATGGGAGGGAATTAGTCTTCATTGAGGTGAACCTCCTTAACTTCAGGTGTTTGGTTAAGCCTTCTGCTCCCTGTAAAGCTTTCTCTGCCTTCAAAGAAATGGTTGCCAGTAAATCTGACATTGTTTTTGATGGGTGAATATTTTCCTGATATGATCATGAGATTGTTTAGAAGAGGGGAAAATCAGCAGGACACTTGGACATGTGTCACAGAAGAAGCCCTTTTGATGATGATGTTAGAGCACTGATCACATTATGCAAAACCACAACAGGAAAAGCTCTGTATCCCATTGTAAGGTAAAACAGTCCTGGGACCAGCCTCTGTCTTAGGGTCTGCTTACAGAGTAGTTTTTGTTTTCTCAAATAATGCAGCTGTCTGCCTAAAAGGGACAGTGAGGAATAAAAAAAATTATCATGACTTTTCAATACCTGCCTCCTAAAAAGTGTGCATGTATGTACGCGCTGTGCCATATGCATGACTCCAGAGTACTCAAAACAGTTCTCTGATTCTTTAACTGTGTACCTCCAAAGAAATATCCTAGAAACTTTTTGTACTTCACATGCTGGATATTTTCAGCTTGGGTTAGATTTCTCTGCCTTTGAGGGATTTATTGGCATTACTTACAGACCAAGGACTATTTTCCTCTGGTATTTGTCTTAAAGGTTTTGCCATGCATAAAAGGGAAAAGCCGTTATTTCTATTGATTCACCCTCAGACCACGTAGCAAATTCAAAGAGAAATAATAACTAAGTGAAGAGAGGCTGCTAAATGGCAGAAAGGAACAAGGAGTATGTTCCTGGGCCTCCATCTGAAAGGTCATATACCTGGCACCTTTTGAATGTCAAGCCTGAAGATGAGAAAGCAGTGTAAATCAGCCCGTGCCTGTGCACTGCTGGTTGGCAGATTGGCTGACTCGCTCTTGCTGTCCTTCCTTTCAGGATCTGTCACTGTGAGGGAGATGATGAGAGCCCCCTCATCACGCCGTGCCGCTGCACGGGCACCCTGCGCTTTGTGCACCAGGCCTGCCTGCACCAGTGGATCAAGAGCTCGGACACGCGCTGCTGCGAGCTCTGCAAGTACGACTTCATCATGGAGACCAAGCTCAAGCCCCTCCGCAAGGTAGGCTGCTCTGCAGTTTGATTATCCCCGGGGCTCAGAGCTCCAGGATGGCTGTGCAAATTGCCAGCACAGCTAAAGAAACATCTGTCCAGAATGGCTTTGTATTTTCTGTTGGTAATCGGTCACGGTGATTTTAGTCTTACATATAAGCTGGTTAATTTTCAGCAGCAGAGGATTTGACTAAAGACTCACTTTCTTCACACATACAATATAAATGCACAAATAATAGTCTTTTGGTTTAGACTTTCTATCTTCAGCTTTTTGTTGCAAGTTCATCTGCGTATTTTTAAGCCAGAAAGAAATCTTTTCATGTTTTGCTCCTGAGTAACACAGTCCAGTTCACCCAGCAATTTTTACACGAAGCCCATAACTTCTGGTTGAGAGTGATGCTTATACCCATGTGGACACAGCAGTTATAAAGTAACACAGTCAATTTATCTGCATCTGTTGTAGCTGTGACACTCATGGGCAAATTAATCACTTCTGCTTTAAAATTAGTTAATGGAATTGAAAAGACAGGGTGACTTTGCATCCTGAATGTCAAATGTGTGTTATCTGCACTCATCTGTTTTCTAAGATAAATCAATAAAACGCTACACAGATTGTCAGTATGGGGAAGGTGAAGAGTTTATTAAACATATGTGGGTTCTGTTTTCTTTGGAGTGAATAGCTTCTCTTTGAATTTTTGGTTTAAAATACTCTTATCCTTCTGGACTCTTGCTGAATCTTTGAAGTTTGAGTCAATCTGGAGCTGGGCAAGTTTTGATTTGAAATAAATTTCTACATGAAAAATATGTACCAGCTTTGGACCAACATATGCCTATATATAGTGTTCCAAAGGCAAAAGACATTTTGTTTTTGTTGGCTTTACACAAGTAGCAGTAGTTCAGAGAAAGGCAATCAATGGAATTTCTTCACACTTCCCATTCAGAGGAATTTTCTATTAAGTCCATGGTGATAAACCACTTGTGAAGAGAGAATTCGGGCTAATTTGGAAAGCAAAGCTTCTTATAGGCAAAGACAAAGTTCTCAAATGCCAGGTAGATCTGGCCATGTACGCTAGAAATTGAAACAAAAAGAAAGATGGCTAAAAACTCAATTATATTGATTTCAGTTTTGGTAATTGCATATAGATTTTAACTAATATGACAGGATGAGATAATTGCATAAAAACCCCTGCCTGTTGCATCTCTTTGGTTTTTTTTTTTTTAGTTTTTATGTTTCTATTTTCAAACCAAATTGCTTTAACATCTAACATCTAACAAGTACTCTCACAACAGTTACTTTTCTTAAGAGAATATACAGATATTGGTATTTTAAACAAAAGCCTTTTGCTGGTTGTGTTAGATAATATAGCATCTTTTATAAAAGGGAAACAAAATTTATAGCAACCAAGGAGAAAAGAAGTGAAAAATGTGCATGATTTGATATCAGAAGTAGGCACTTTTAACTGTGTGTGGTCAGTGCCACATCTCCTCTCCCTTTTAGGGTGGTAATGTAATTCCTACAAGTCTGCAATTTCTTAATTGAATGATTGCCACCTTATTCAGCTTATCATTGGTTCTCAGGTATGGTTTAGATTTCTGCATATAAAAGATTCACCTCTTCTTTCAGGCAGGATATTTTTGTTTCTGTTTGAAGCAGAAAGTTTATCTGCCTGGCAGTCTGTGCTGGCAACATTCCACCCTTCAAATGCAATGCTAACAAATATGTGTTTGTGTAGAATGGACCCAGCACTAACTATAAATCCTTTGTTATAAGTCACACCCATTTCAGAAACCAAAGCTCCCAAATATTTCAAAGTTAAAATAAGTTGTCTTTTGGCATTTACGGCATTCAACTGTGACACGCTTCATGTGGTACATTTAATTAAACATGTGTTCCTTACTAAGTGTGAGCACTATCATCACCATTGTTCACAAATTTATGAAACACTTAACAGTTTATGAGAAGCTGTTTCACAAACCAAGTATTTTGACATCTGTAGCAAAGCCAAGGTAAGGGAGGAAAAAGTGATCATGAGACCTGCCATATGAGTAGAGCTTACTTGCAAATTTCCACTCAAACATCCTTTGTAAAAATCACTGAAGCTGTTTTGTTTAGGATTTTTTTGTCAGAACTTATATATTTTGCAGAAGTGGAAAGTGCCAATGAAACACTGTCAAATTTCTTGGCAGCTTTTATGAAGCCCAGAATCTCAGTTTTGGGGTGTTCCTTGGGAGCCCATGTTTTCAAAAGATTGGCACAAGGGGTGGTGACCAAAGTACTGTGGGACAGGCAGCTCCTAACACCAGCTCCCCACAATCCTGTCTCCTTGGTGCAGGATCTGAAAAACACTACTGGCTCTGGAATTTCCAGACCTTGAAAGCTTTGGGTTTTGCCAAAGCTTGGTTCTGTACTAGACCTCAAGAGCCTTCAGCCCCCTAAGTCTGGGCTGTCAGCAGTGAACCAAAATTACTGAACTTCTGGAATCCCCTTGGCATGATGTCAGGGATGTTATGTATCTGAAAACAACACAGTTCTTGTCAACTTTGTTGGATGCCAATTGGAACAGCAAAATTGACCCAAAAAAAATTATTAATTTTGCTAATAAGCTTTGAGGAATTCTGAAAACAGATTTTACTTTTCCATGCATCCTAAACAGAAGACCATATATTTGTTTCAAGAAAGGAGTGCCTATTGAATTCCATAAGAGACTAATTTATTTAAAAAAACAAAGGAAATTATTTTTCCTAAAGTGAGTTTCTGTCCAACTTCAGATGATGCAATTTCCGTGGCCATTAGACCTGGATTTGAAGTGACATTATACAAGTGGAAGGGTCACATCTCTTTACAAGTTCTGATTTTTTGTTTTTTAATCTCTCTCATCACTTATTATACAACATTCTAAAATTTGGTTCCTGTCTGTGCATTGTTTCATTATGATGAATTTTGTCATTATGTCTTTGTAAAATTCCTACTGCTGGCCTCCTGAAGGGAAAAAAATTACAGACTATCAAACTTAATTACAGCAATCTATAGTTTTGCATTCTGCAGAATCACAAAAGCATGATTTAAATATAAAACAAATTATTTATTCAAAAATTAATTACCATCTTTATTTATACCTCAGCCCTTCATGCACCTTCAATGTTTCATAACAGATTTTTTTGTCAAAGTCTAAGGTTTTATACCACAATCATTTTGGAATATCATGCCGTATCCATTAGCACCCATAAGTGACAATGTAGAACATAGAAAGCTAACATAAATTAAGATAATCAGTATTAAATCAATAGGTTTGTGCCAATGTGTGACAGTTATTTAATTAGAGAATCCCTGAAAGCACCAGACATCAAATAAAACTGAGTTTAATCATTTTAGTGAGTCTTTGCATTGAGGTAATCCTTTTAAGCGTTGATCAACAGACATTGCAAGTGTTTCATATATTTGGACAGGTCTAATTACTTCAGCTCAAGATAAATACAGAGATTAGATATTAAGCATTGCTTAGTGCTTCTGATTTATTTCTCATGGTCTCTGTTACATCTGTCTGTCATTATAAATAATACAGTTACATTTGTAGCTTTGCCTCTCAGCATCTGCAATCCATGGTGCACAATTTAAAAGGTGACTTTATCACAGAAGGAATTAGGAAGTGGTAGGAAGCTTGTGTGAGTTCCATATTGAGCTCTATCAGGAAATAGCTTAAACCTGAGAAAAACACTTCTTTAAAAAAGATGCACTCCTAGATATTAACACCTGCATTTCATATCTCTTGAATTTGGTGTTTGAAGACTAGTCGAAACAGGAATTGAATGAAAATAAAGTTATAATGAAATGGATTAAAGTATCAAATTAAAAGAAAGCTCAACAAAAAAAGTCTTTAAATGGAGATTCTCAGCAGTGCCTTGCTATACTTCAAAATACTTTTCATATTTAAATTTTGCTATCTATTTAAGACGTCTATATCTGATGAGATGTCTTACTTTGATGCATCATCCAAACAGATTATTGTGTGGTGTCAGAGATGTCTGTTTTCTCTCCCAGCTCTATTTTTTAAATGATTTACAAATAAAGTCTTATTTATATGAGGCGTGAGCAGTATTGCTCATTGTTACCATGTGGTTGCTCTTGGTCATTAAGGAAGTGCAAGTCACTTCGTTTGTTTACAGAAGCATTTTGTAGCACTTGAGGTTAATTTTCCTTCTGATAGAAAGAGTATCTGAATTTATGCCTTTTTTTAAAAATAGAGGACTGAGAATGTTCTTTTAGTACAGAGTGATATGTTTCTATTAAATTAAACAGAAGCAAAGAGAATGCTGATCATGAAATAAACTTAGTCTTATTTAATTTGAATGTGTATATTTATCTTATAAGTGTTTATGTCTCTTGTATGCTGTATTTGGTTATATACTGATATAAAGAAACCTCATAGTATGCCTAAAGCATTCACTGATGCCAATATATGTTAAGGATGTTTTTTACTTTTGATTCAATAGTAGCTTGGGAATTCATATTTACATTTCTTTATTAAGAGTATGGAGTCATAGAACCTGCAGTGAAATTTCTGTGATGTTCTGCTCTGAAATCATAAGTGCTGGCCATTAGAAACTGCTTTTGCCAGAGTAAACTCTCAGATCCAGGCGTGACCAGAGGAGTCTCCCAAAAAAAAGCCCCAAACTTTTGGGCAGTCATTACTGCACTGCTTGCTCTTCAGTTCTTACTGCCCCGAGCTGTGAGGTGTGAACCACCTGCCTTTGTCCATGGTTTTCTAATAATGCCCGTGATAAGAAGTGGTATCAAATATTGCACAGGACTTGCCGTGGGACTGGTTCCCTTTTCACCCAATTGGATGAATATTTTGCAGTCCTCAACACAGAAGGAGCTCCTGCATTTTGCTTTGATTTCTGGTGCAGCTACATAGTGTCACCAAGGCAACCTGCTCCACTGTTATCTTTCTTCCAGTGAACTGTCTCAAAACATCAGCAGCCTCAAATAATTGCCTGCAATATGTGGGG